TTGCCATCCTGGGAGAGTGCGACCTTTTATTCAGGTTCTTCCTTTTATTTGTCACTGACCTGTATGTGTGCAATTGTGTGTGAGGTGAGGCACAGCTGATTATATGACAATTATTATTGCACTAACAGAAGCAGTAAATATTTCATAGGAAAAGTAATAATTTTATTTATTTTGTATTTCTGCAAGGTAGAATAGGTTGAAAAACCCCATGTAATGGTTTTTAAATATCCGTTGTCTTAATATAACAGTAAATTCATGGTTGAAGCCAGAACCTTCTTTTCCTGGTGTCCAAATCATAAAGTTCTTTCTTTGTAATGTTACTTCTCCTCCAAATACAAGGCACTGATAACATTGAAACACTCCGCTGTGTGTTCCCTTTGAAATTCTCAAATGACTTAGGAATACTACTGAATAACTGGGCATGTAGACGTCCAGAGCTGCCAGGAATTCAAAGATATTTAGAGTCTGAGGAGTCTGGAGTGAGCTGTTACACTCATCTTAGTTTGAATTGAGACTGATACATGGATTTTACAGTGTCATGATGGTGAAAGTCAATGATGTTACTGCATCTTTTACTATGTCAGATACTAATTCATGTTTCCAGCTTTTCAAACAAAGGGTAAATTTACTTATTGTTAAGAAACAAATGATATTAAAAATGTCACTGTTCCCCTGCATGGCCTGTATTTATCTTTTTGTCTTTTTTTTTTGGGCATGTAGACGTCCAGAGCTGCCAGGAATTCAAAGATATTTAGAGTCTGAGGAGTCTGGAGTGAGCTGTTACACTCATCTTAGTTTGAATTGAGACTGATACATGGATTTTACAGTGTCATGATGGTGAAAGTCAATGATGTTACTGCATCTTTTACTATGTCAGATACTAATTCATGTTTCCAGCTTTTCAAACAAAGGGTAAATTTACTTATTGTTAAGAAACAAATGATATTAAAAATGTCACTGTTCCCCTGCATGGCCTGTATTTATCTTTTTGTCTTTTTTTTTTATTTTTATTTTTTTTTTTTTTTAAGTTGGACCACCACATGCCACCAGAACAGCTTCAGTGCCCCTTGGCATTGATTCTACAAGTCTCTAAACTGTACTGGAGCGATGGATACCAAACTTATGAAAGCTATTCCATCATTTGGTGTTTTGACGATGAAGGTGGAGATGTTGTTTGACACGTCGGTCCAAAATCCCCCATAAGTGTTCAGCTGGGTTTAAGTCTAGTGACTGTGAAGGCCACAGCATTTGATTAACATCATTTTCATACTTGTCAGACCATTCAGTGACCCCCTCAAGCCCTATGGATGGGGCCTTTGCCATCCTGGGAGAGTGCGACCTTTTATTCAGGTTCTTCCTTTTATTTGTCACTGACCTGTATGTGTGCAATTGTGTGTGAGGTGAGGCACAGCTGATTATATGACAATTATTATTGCACTAACAGAAGCAGTAAATATTTCATAGGAAAAGTAATAATTTTATTTATTTTGTATTTCTGCAAGGTAGAATAGGTTGAAAAACCCCATGTAATGGTTTTTAAATATCCGTTGTCTTAATATAACAGTAAATTCATGGTTGAAGCCAGAACCTTCTTTTCCTGGTGTCCAAATCATAAAGTTCTTTCTTTGTAATGTTACTCCTCCTCCAAATACAAGGCACTGATAACATTGAAACACTCCGCTGTGTGTTCCCTTTGAAATTCTCAAATGACTTAGGAATACTACTGAATAACTGGGCATGTAGACGTCCAGAGCTGCCAGGAATTCAAAGATATTTAGAGTCTGAGGAGTCTGGAGTGAGCTGTTACACTCATCTTAGTTTGAATTGAGACTGATACATGGATTTTACAGTGTCATGATGGTGAAAGTCAATGATGTTACTGCATCTTTTACTATGTCAGATACTAATTCATGTTTCCAGCTTTTCAAACAAAGGGTAAATTTACTTATTGTTAAGAAACAAATGATATTAAAAATGTCACTGTTCCCCTGCATGGCCTGTATTTATCTTTTTGTCTTTTTTTTTATTTTATTTTTTTTTTTTTTAAGATTGCTTTGTATATTTGGGAGGAAGGAAATGGTCCAGAGCTGACAGCAGTTGCAGAGTTCTGCACAGAGCCAAGAGACAACTGTGCTACCACCTTTACAACCTACCTGCCAGACTGTGTATGTACAACTCTGATTTATTACATTTGCATCATTATACATTTCAGTTATGTGTGCATGAACGGACATTAAAGTGTCTGTTATGGATGACGTGCAGTTTGATTTCAAAAATACCCGTTACTTAAGGAAATCCTTCTAAACCAGCAGCAAAGTTGCAGCAAATAATCCTTATGTGAAAATGGTTGAGTATGATTTCAAATATGATATAACCGAATACAATGTCAGCTGTTATTCAAATGAAACCTAGTCTTGTGAGACCTCTAGTTTGTACATTAAAATTCTGCTTTCTTTAATTTTGGTTGCTTGAGTCAGGACATAGATTTCAAAATGTAAACTCTATTTTATGTGTGTAATTTTTCTCGTGTGATTGATGGTGACGATAATTTTACAAAAAATGACTGTTTTTATCCTAGTGATCACAAAATAGGATCACACTCAATGAAAAGAAATCACTATTTTGAAACAAGACAGTGCTTTCTGCCACTTGGCTTTGGTCAGTGTCACACCTTTTAGGGACAACAACTTGAAGTAGATGTTTTCTGTAGGAGTTTATCAACCTCACATCATCATGAAGAAGCTTCAGGTCAGTGATGTTGGAGGGCTTCTCACTGGGGCCGAGGCCTGGACTTTGACCTGGCCAGCCCAACTCCTTGATTCATTTAGTTTTTTCCTTCTTTAGCCATTCAGATGTTGATTCGCTGGTTTTCATGGGATTATTGTCCTTTTGCATGATCCGGGTTCGGGCCAGCTTAAGCTTCTGGACAGACAGCGTCACATTTGTCTCAAGAATATTCTGATATAAAGTGGAGTTCACCGTCATCTCAATGACTGGAGGTTTCCCAGGTCCTGTGGCTGCAAAACAAGCCCAAATCATCACTCCACCACCACCATGCTTGACAGCTGGTATGAGGTGTTTGTGGTGACATGCTGGTTTTCACATAGTCTTTCTTTCCAAAGACATGAAACATTCTGAAAATGTAGATTCCTCATAACTTCACAAGTATCAAACAATTTCCTTTTTTATTCTCCAAGTCATGTTGTCATTTTTAATGTTATGTGTTAAAGCTGAATCTTGCAATTTTCTACATTGTGAACCATAAAGTTTCTGTCTAACTGATTAAAGAACACAACCCGACTTCATTTTAGTACCACCAAAGTATGCATCATGCTCTGGGATCAGCATAAAGTACAAAACCCTATGTGCTCATCATTTGTTGGTTGTGGTCCAGTGTGAGTGCAAAGGTGCCTTAGAGGAACAGCAATTTGAAGACTAGCTCACACAAAGAATACACAGGGATGAAAGTTAGCCATCATAATGAAGTGTCAGGTGCTTATATTGAATATTCTGCAACCCTCTTAACCTACCAATAGCCTACCAGTTACTGTTCGTAATTTTCTAGAATAAGATGAGGTATCACACATGGAAATTCAGTACATGATGTTCAAGTAGCCCCACGTCTGGCAGATGAATCTTTTTTCCTCACATGACAGTAATACTGTTAGGACTGAGTTTCGCCTCATTTTGACTCCTGACTCAGTTTTAAGTCTATTACATTCTGCACATGCTGCACCTCCCACTGTGTTTCTGCGTACATTTTAATTGTAATCATACATGTTTTAATGAAGAGGAACATCGTTTCTTTTTCTCTCTCTTTTTAGGGAGATTCAGTCTCAAAGAACAATTTATTTGTCGCTGTGAAAACTTGTCAGAAATTCCACTCAGAGCGAGGTGTGTATTTTTTATTACCTTCCAGTTGTAGAAGGACACATTATTCATTAAAATATTATATTCAGCAGTGGTGGAAGAAGTTTAGAGTTTAATAGTTTATTTAACAGGAACAGTGTACATTAAAAAACATTACTGTAAATGCACCAGAATTAACCAAAAGGCTAGTTTTCATCTATAGTCCCTGGATCATTTACTTAAGTAAACGTATAAATGCATTAATATAAGAATAATTCATTTCAAATAAAAGTCCTGCTTTCCTAATCCTATTTCAGTAAATGTGAAGTATTATCAGCAATATACAGGTAAAGTTTTGAAAGTGGAAGTGCAGAAAAAACCGTACTTGTAACTGACGTATTATTATATATGACATTATTAGAGTGTTAATACTGCGGCATAAGCAGCATTTTACTGTTGTAGCTGGTTTAAAGGCTCCTTAAAATTATTATTTGTATTACTGATACTGCATTGTGCTTTATTAGCTTATGTTTTGTGGTAAATCTGAGAAGTGTCAATAAATATAATTGAGTTAAAAGGACACTAGTGTTCTCTGATGTGCAGTTGAGAAAAATACTAAACCACAAAGCATAAAAATAAAAAACCAGTACCTCAAATTTGTACTTGTGTGCAGTGGCCTACTTGAGTAAATGTATTTAGTTACTTCCCACCCTTGAGATTCTGTTATCATATTCATTATTATAATAATTGATTGTCTTATTTGTACAGTATTGCAACATTTTACCCACTGTGCAAGTTTTACAAAGAGAAATGGTAAATGTTCATGTTGCATCAGGCCACGCAGTACAACTACTTACCCACTTTTTGCCCTTTCTGGTGTAAAAGTTTGAGTTGCTATTGTTACAAAAATGATGTTTTTTAATTCATAGTTGTCACAGAATACATTACAGTTAGCAGAAATTACAGGACATTTAGCTGCAAATGTTTCACTGCAGTTAACTTTTTACCCGTCACTGCTGTTTTGTTTACTTGTTGAACATTCTGATGGTCATTCAGTCCAAGTTAACCTGTCAGGTGAAAACTCCGTTTAAATTCACAACCTCGTTTAGACTGCCAGCTGAATTTGCAACAATATGTGTAATTATGCAAAACACTGATGTCTGTTTTGGGGGTCAAAATGAGCTAGCAGTTAGTTTGAAGTGAATGGTTTTAAAGCAAAAAGTAGAAAGGGTGTATTTAACTTGAATGTGAATTTAGTTTTAATATTTAGGTTATTAGAGTTGCATTAATGTCAATGAGGAAAATTAATTATGACCGGCAGTTATGTTGTAGTTTTACAGTAGTAGTTATTAAGAGGTTTGATTTTTCTCCCCTCCCCCACTTTTGCCCACACAGTGCCAGTAGTGAAGGCAACATGGGAGAAAGACGCTGGGTTTTTGGAGTATTACAGCGATGTCACTGATGCCTCCATTCCCACTATCAGTCTAGGAGTGCCTAATACTGAGAGAGGTGAGCTGAGCAGCAGTGTTGACTGATTATTGCAGGACAGAGCTTGGATATGTTAGAGGGATTATTTCACCGAGCTGGAACCACTTGAGGACCTCTCACCAGGCTTGGAACCACTGCACATGACAAGGCTGTAGAGGCAGTACCAGCCTGGCTGATACAGAATTTTCAAGGCAGCTGATTTTGATATTTGATAGTTATATATTCTCTTTGCTTCTCTAGCTTTTATGAGCCGCAAACCTCCAGAATCAGAATTGGAGAGCTCAGCTTCATCTTTTTCACACTTGGCTGTCTTCATGTGGTGTCTCTGCAGGACACTGTGGGAAGACGTTTGCCATTTTGAGGCGGTTCCTGAGTAAAGCTGTGCCAAAGACCGACTGGCTTCTCATTGTTGATGATGATACCCTCATGAGGTAACTGGGAGAAGAATAGAAAATAAAGTAAATCATTTAAAGCAACAACAAGAGGTAACTAGCTGCCAGTGATTGGTTGAAAAAGCTAAGCTGCTAGTGGGACAGTACAACCAGTTCATTCTTACTTGTACTATTGACCCCTGTCTGCTAGCTGTTTGCAAACCATTTTAACTTCTATTTGTTCTGGGTTCACTTAGAGGCCCTGATCAGACATTGCTCTTTTGTGAACAGTTTTTACACATTGGAGATTAAACAAAAGTGAATGGTACAACACAAAAATCTTTGATAGTTTTTGCTATTCTGGACTTTCCAGCCCCCTTCATAAAGTTTCTACTGTCCTAACAGCTTGCTGTGGTTCGTTGGCAGGAATTCAAATGCCAAACTTCACTGAGTATTTGCATGGGTCAAGCAGAACCGATTTCATAAATTGAATTGAAATTGCCACAAAATCCAGACTTTAAAGCTGTGACTGCCTGACTGCTGCACTGCTGACCAAATCTAAAGGGGCGGTTAGAGAGATTTCCATCCATCCACACTCTAACAAGAACTCGAGTCAAACTAAATAAGTGAAAACAGCTTTAGTGCTTTATAGAGACAGCTTTATAAGATCCCCTAAACATCCTGTGGATTCTCTTAACATCACACATAGTATAGGCCCTTGTTTATTGTGTCTTTTTTGAAGGCTATACATAGTGTGGTTTATGATTGTGTTTGAGATGTATGTATGCATGCATCTCACTTTGCCTGTTTATCACTGCTCAACTCTAGTTTACCCCGGCTGCGACAACTGCTGCGTTGCTACGACCCAAAGGAAGCAGTGATCCTGGGGGAGAGATATGGCTACAGATTGGTTCAGAATGGATACAGCTACATCACAGGAGGAGGAGGGTGAGGCTGCGGGATGAAGTGAACATCATGATGCTAGTAGCATGATGGTAAAAGGGGAATAGATCTGCTCTGCAAGGTTTTAACAATGTCACTGTAAAGCAAAATTCAGTAAGGGAACAGCAAAAGTATAGTCTGATGCTGAACAAACAGAAGCATTTAAAAAGTTCTTTACAACTTATGTGATAGTATTACGTGTATATTATAGTACAGTCTGTTTACTTGTCCTGGTATTGCTTGCGCTGTGGGGACTAAAACCCATTGACATAATCATGTTGTGGCGTTAAATTAGTTGTCCAATAATGTAAGTCAATGTAAAGTTACCGTGTGTGTGTGCGTGTGTGTACACGCAGGATGGTGCTCAGCAGGGTGGCAGTGTCCAGGCTAGTCTCCAGTGGTTGTAGCTGCTACCGTGATGATGCTCCTGATGACATGGTGCTGGGCAGGTGCTTCACTTCCCTGGGTGTCCCCATCACACATAGCCCACTGTTCCATCAGGTAGGGAACAATACAGAGAAAATACTTGTTACACCGAAAGTTTGTGAAGCCCTCTCATAACTTCATGTGCATTCCAACCTTTATACTGTATACTGAGATGTACTCAGTAAGAACAAGGGTGGATGACATTTATTTTACAACTCTCAACGTTTTTTTGTTTTTTTTAAATAATGTCCTATAAAGAAACTGTTATGAAACTATAAATTCATAGAGCAGCTCCTGGAAGGGACTATATAACTTGGTACTATTTACTGGGAAAGTGGAGACAGTGTTCAGTGTGTACCCTTCCAAATAAACTACTATAGTTAATTGTTATTACAGCCTAGAGAGAATCTTTTGCAGAGCAGGTCGACTAAATTTGCAAGAAATGTAAAACTGATCTACAGCTAAGCATATAATTGACACATGTAAAAGATAATGTTTTAAATAATGAATGAAGATTGAAGTGAAGGTTAAAATGGAGTAGTTCTTTCACACACATTATTCTGGAAATCACCAGTTATAACAAACACAGAACAATTTCTTAATTTTCAGCAACAGTCTCAGAACGTTTAAAAATGTCTTCATTATAAGTACTAAAGTTTGATGGCGTTGATACTAATGAGGAAATTGCAGATCTGTAAAGCACAATCATAAAGAACTAGGTGGTGGAGAGTTGTCCTTGTCCAAAAGTTGGAAACGAGTTTTTCTCAACATCCAGACTATCCAAAAAGCACTTATTTTTGAGCATAAATTAGCCTCGGGAGAAAAATCAATCCTTGGCTTGTGTTATTTGCATTTTAAGGGCCCTGTCTTTTCAGAAAGGCACTGGTGTTCTCAGGCACTTGGGGGAACTATGTGTGCCTGTTAGGAACAGTGGTTTAGTCGTGATCAGACAGATTTACAGTTCTAATCACGATCCAAAACAAATGTTCACATTGATACCCATACCATGTGGTAATAGAGGGGAAGGTTCCTATAGATTTCTTCCAAGATAATATTGATCATCTTTCTTTGTGAAGGAAAACCATTTCCTAGAAGCAGAAAAACAAATGAAAGTTGACTTGCTTTCTGATCTTGGTTTTCTACTTAATTGACCTTGTGCATTTCAGCAACAATGAAGTGGTTCAGCTCAGTTGTTTTGTCATTTAAATTCCTATCAAAGGGCTGAATAAAAACTTTTTTTGCTTAAGTACAATTTTTCTTTGAATGATACAATGATTTTCAGAATACCAAGATTGAGCTTTCCATGTGCACCTTCTTTCAGGAAACACATTTGTGCTAAATGTTAAATGTATGTTGTAGTTATTTGTGGTTCAGTTTGGGCAGCTGCAACAGCAGAACGCTGTTTCAAGCAGACACACAGCACTGCACAGAACACAGTCCACCAGGTCAGGCGAATCCGGTTCAAAGACTCTGGATTCAGCCAGCGCTCAGTTTGCCGCCTTGGCTGTGATCAGTGCTCCTGCAACTCCTTGTGGTTACATGAACAGTGAAAAACATTTACTTACAACATGAATGAAAAGGTAATTTTAAGTTGATGATATTTGCCTTGAGTGGCGTAAAAATTGTCAGGACACTTAACTGACTGTGGCAATCTCATAGCCAAATTAGAGATTATGAGATATGAATATGTGGATTCTTCTCTATTCAGTCTGTCCCTGTTGAGGAGCCAACATGAACTCCTGGCTGATTTCTTGTCAACACAAACGGTGCACATGAATCCTGAGCAGGCTGTCAGTTTCTGTCCTGTCTCTGCTCTAACCGATCATTAAAGTGGACGTCTGGACTTAGTAGAAACATCTGCTTCTGACAGATGTGGCATAGCTATTTAGGATATAGAAGTAATTATACCCAGAATAAATTCTGAGAAGCACATTTCTCAACATTGGTATTTGTCTTATATAACTGAATCATTAAAAATCAAGTCAAACCAAATGGAAAGTAATCAATTCTGGACTTTGTGAATCAAAATTTAACAAAAGTGGGGGCTTGGTGCAGCTTGCTGACAGACCCAGGAGTGATAGGAAAAGAGATAATCAGCATGGGAGGTACTAACAAAAACAAACTGCATACTGTATTTAAGCTAGTTTACATCTTGGGTAATCCCCTAAATGTAATTAAATACTGTATCTGCTGCTGTGTTCATATGACATCCTCATAAATGTGGATGTGTGAGAAGTTCACAATTGGCTGTGTGAACTGATCAGGAAAATAAGACTTTTGATTTGACATAACTGGCAAGGCTGAGCAGAAGTTAAGAAACAAATCTGAAAATGTCATAAACTGAGTGAGAAAATAGACAGACTGCAAGGTCAACAGATTTAAACATAAAAAAAACATCCCGAGGTACCGATGCATTCCCATTATTTTGTTGGCTGCTTGTATTGTAGAGGGATCTAGAGATTATCATTATCACATGCAGGTCACCCAGTGTGTTTCTCTGTTTCTGCGAAATGAAACCGCTAACCAAACCAAAGTGCTCCAAGGTGAGGGGAGGCAGTTGTAAGACCGTAACCTTTACCCAGTATCAGTTGATGCTCTGCATCATGCTCTTTGTTTTCCTTTTTCTAAATGTAGGTGGTAAAAGACCGAAAGAGACTGCCACAGAGGTTAGAACCGCAGAATGTTGAAGTGTGCTAGTCTGGAGCAAAGGCGAAACTGCTTGCAGCAGTGGGAATACCCTCAAAGAAACCATGAAACATTAAGCAGGCACATACAGAACATGGGCACACGCCATCAGACCACTTCTTCTTGATATTTTAGGCACGACCGGATGACTACTCCGAGACACTGATCTCCTTGCAGCAGGCCATCTCCTTTCACAAGCACTGGAACATGGACCCCGTGGCTGTCTACAAACAATGGCTACAGGATGAACACCCACGGGATGAACTGTAGAAAGACTGCATACACAAACGGTACCATACTGTACATGTGTAGACACTGAATACAGAGTTGAACAAGAGCATAGAGTTAAAGATGAGGAAAGCTACAGTGATCGTAATGTCCAGAGAGACCTAGAAACATAGTTCTTACAAGATTTATTACCCCCATTCATCAGTATTATTGACAACAGTAAATCAAATGTCTTTATGTAATGAATTGCAGAGAATTATCACCCAGGTCTGTGGCACTACAAAGGATTTTAAGACTCAAAGGACCTGCTCGGTATCAAACGGCAGGCATCCAAACCTTCTGAGTGGATGGAAATGTTTCTTTATCTCAGCTGAATGTGTAAGTAGCTTGGTAACATTCACCATAAGCCGTGGATATAATGATGGCTGTGTCTATCAACCTTTTTAACTTTTTGCTGCCTTGAGTGGCTGAAATAATGACTACAGTTTTAACAGAGCCATATATTTTCAACAGTAAGAGTGAAATTGTATACTGAGTCCTATCTGTAATAAAAGTGTATTACCTCCAAATGTCTGAGAAACTGGCGAACCTCCTGTTGACAGCATCCGTGATTCAATGTTAAGCTAAGGTGGTTGCTTTCTGTGAGTTACTGCTGTCACTTTGGGGGATACTAAGCCTGTTGCAGATTAGCATCAGGTGCGCAAAATGTCGTGGCACTGCAATAATATGGTTGTAGAAACTAATGTATTTTGGTACTGCAGTCATCTGCCAGAGAACTCAGCCTTTTTTTCATTCAGTAACTGAAGCAGAGTCTGACCTGAATGCCTGTACCTTCTCCTCTGGGTGATGTGATTTATGAACACCCTCTCCCTCCTCAAACATGTTCTTCACTGCGATGAGGTCTCAGAAGAATAATAGCTGCCACGCTGACATCAGGGCCTTAAATTTTGCACATACTTTCTCCTGATCTTAAATTTCAGCCACAGTTCCCTCTGCAGCAGTGGTGGTAAATCAGGTACCGACAGTATCTAAATACATTTCTTTTCTCTCCTCCCTTATTTTGCGCCCCTGAATGGGAATGCTTTCAAATACGTATTTCACAAAATCGAGCATTCTTTTGGGGCTACTTCAGTTCTTTTTCTCTGGCACAAAAATCCATTTGGACTCCTTAGTAAATATGAAGACACAGTTTAGAGCTGAAAATGAGCCACTTAGGCAATACCTCCCCTATGTATTAGTAAACTAAGCTGCTTAGACTTGTTTTTGAAACTCTTAAAAAAAAAATTTGATTTGATCTCAAGAGACAATCAGTTAAAATAGGTAGGTGTTGCACCATCAGTTATTTTAGTCGTTAATCCAGCTGTGAAATGGTCTTTCTTTTTCAGCTTAGGGTACTGATTAAAGTTGTAAAATGAAAGCTGACTGCCACTGGGTGATTACAACATATCCCCTGTGTTGTACCACTGCTCGGTGACATTACAACAGACCTTGCCTCAGCCCGTGTGTCTTTGATTTATTGAGACTTGTCAGTTCTCTGAGGCCAGAATCCCATGCTGTAGTATCACATGTCACTGTGACATTAGTTACTATAGTAGCAGGGATACTGACTGCTCTGACAGTTCCTCTTTCAAGGTTTTGTGTAATGCTAGACAGGTGACATATTGTGATACAGACATAGCATGCATTCTTGCAAAAAAACAAATTTAATGCATCACTGTCACAGCATTCATAAGAGGGAGTTAATCCCTTAACTTATTCCAGGTAACTATTTAATTGGTCTTCTTGTGGTTTGTCGAATAAGTTTGCTTCTGTGTGAGTAAGACTTAGAGATGAAATGCTTCAAGCAAGACAGAACTGATGTTTATTTGCTCAACTTTTTATTTCTCTTAATGCATTTAAATTTCATATTGGGATCTAGCTCCTTGTCGCACGCTGCCAGGCCCATCACTATCCTGCTCTTTTTTTAAATATAACATTACAAACTTCACTCTGTTTGTTTCACACAATCACAATAAATTGAAGGTATATTCTCATAAATTATAGAATGTTACATTACTGTCACTTATAATAGGCAGTTAATATGATCAATTCATGTGATTGCTCCATGTGTCAAGGCTTGCACAATGATTATTTTGATGTTTCTACTTAGTTTTTTTTTTCATTATGGAATATAGATGGTATTTATGTCATTGAAGTGAACAAACAAATATGACTATATATAGTACACTTGTATTTTCATCTTGTATGTTAACTGTGGTTGTGACATTAGGAGTCTTAATATGTGGATGTGGAACTTTGGGCCATGAGGGCTTTTATTCCTCAAATACTAACAAATACACATTATAAAATACAACAAATAAATCATACAGGTTCACATCCTAAGCATCACATATTGCAGCAAATTATATCTTCCTTTAAATAAACATAACCTAAAAACAATATAATCCATCAGTTAGTAACCCTTCTCTTTACCTGAATTCCTAAAACCTCCTTTGTCTGTGATAAATGAATGTGTGGGTGCGTTTCTGGCCAGGTCCACAATTTTAAAGACCTCTGAGGTGGTCTAGAACCTTAAGATCATTGTACTGTCTGTCACTTTTTGGGAGGCGACAGTGGTGCGGTGGGTAGAGCAGTTGTCTCCCAAATGGAAGGTTGGAGGTTCAAATCTTGGTGCCTGCAATCCACATGTCAAAGTGTCCTTGGGCAAGGCACTAAACCCCCTGTTGCCTCCGATGGTTGGAGCCATCAGTTGAGTTGTGTTGCCTCCCATGGTTGGAGCCATTAGTTGAGTTGGCGCCGCAGATGGCTGCCTCAATTCTGTACCGAAGACAAATTCCTTGTGTGTAACATACTTGGCCAATAAAGGTGATTATCCCCACTTTTAGGTCTGTGTGTCTCAGCTGTCACTTTTTACTCTGAGGGTTAATCTCAGTTGTGCATCCTCTGTTCATGATCTTGTGGTGATATTGAGTTTCTGCCAGGATGATCATGGAAGTTGTAGACTATGAAAAACAAAATACTTAGACCTATCCTGTTTGTTTGTTTTGCTTTTACATACTTGGTGAACACTGCTGATTGACAAACAGGAGATACCTGTACAGTAGCTCAAACTAAAAACTGTGAGGTGCTCTGACTCTAAACTAGCTGTGACTCTGCAGCTACAAGTCTGTAGCCCTTATTTCCATCAGTAAACCATGAATCAGTCTGATTCTATAAACACACAGACGGTTCTTATTATTGTACTTTCAGCATCCGATAAATCAGGGTTTTGTTACGCTGCTTTGAGTTTAAATGTCAACCATTACAGGATGTTAAATGTTCTTCATACTCTTGGTTTTCCTGATCCCGTGTTTCTCCTATTACTCCTGGCTGTCTTGAGCTTTCTTATAGTTCTGGTTTAAATGATTTCCGTTTAACTAAAGTTGGCAACCCTTTAGTTTTAAAGAGCGAATGGACATCATTAATCAAAGCTGTATCTGGGTGTGGTGCCAAAACTGCCGTTTTGAATGGTTTGGAGGAATGTTTAGTATGTCCTAATTAACATTTAATACAAACTCTAGCCAGCACTTCTTTCTTTTCTTTATTGTCAGTGTATGTAACGTTGTCCAATTAAAAGCAGCTGTCATGGATTATTGAAGGCACAATCTGTGATCCAAGCCCGCGACTGGAACCTGCGATCACACAAATTGATTGATGGCGGATTTGATACAGGGACTTTCCTCTTGACTCTCTGCAATAACAAGTTATTTAGAAAATTTATACCCAGATATGTATCACACTGGCTGTGGATCTTTATGGTCCCAGAAGTGAAATGCTTAATGCTTTTGTGGAGTCTCTACATTTCCACCATTTAAACAGCAGGCATCCACAGAGACCAGATGTTCTGTAAAACTGAAAAACAGCTTGTTGCCGTTCTATGTTTGTTTTAGTGCTAAGTCAACTGCTCCAGGAAGAGGAATATTATAAACAATCATTAAATATGCATTTTTGTTTGTCTCCCTCACAATTTGAAATTGTCTATATTGTCTCACCTTCTTTTTACTCAGAAGTTACATTTGAACAGAAACGCCAAAAAAAAAAAAAACTAATTGCATGAGATGAAACACACAGCACACACCGACTCTTTGACTGTCTACTATATCTTGTTGTAAACATTAATTGGTTTCTCTAAACCTCTGTGGGATAGAGACCCTGAAGTATCAAAATAGTGTTTTTTTTTATGTTGTGTGTGCACAAGTTATTTATCTTGTGGGACCAAGTTATTATTTTGAGCAAGCAAGTTATTTGACTGCATACATTTCAAGCATGACATGGTGACACTGGTGGGTGAATGGGTGAGTGTTTGGGAGTGCCATGGGTGAATGGCCAAAAAGTGTGAAAGAGCTTTGAGTGTGCTGCAGTGCATAGAAAAGTGCTCTACAAGTATAAGACCATTTAGGCCTCTTAATGGAAACCACTGGAGTAAGTTGCATTTGCATTAATACTTTGTTGATTTCCCAAGTATATTCACAGAAACATGGAGGCATTTATTTCTTTTTGTTAGGTGGGATGGTAGAAGACAGCTCTACTGCTCCTTTTACCATAAGTATTCATTTCTGCCTTTTATCTTGTGCTCACAAGATAATGGACAGTTGCTGTTTCAAATAGTTCTATTGACAAACAGAACATCTTATTACATTCATCTTAAGTTTTAGCCTTATCATTTAAAACGTGGTCCTGAGGTAATAGATGGGTGTACAAGCCCTGACTGGGCCCATGCATAGCATCATATCCTACTGTAACACTGGTATTTTTAAAGTGGTTTGGGAATTGAGTGTCTTTGTTTGTTTGTTTTTTCCAAGGCACCTGAGGTTCTTTTGTTTGCATATTTCCACCAACCTCACCATCTGTGGGTTTAAGTGAGGCAGAACACTGTTTATAGTGAAGCCAGCCACCTGCTTAACCTGTTTGTTAATCACCCAGGAGTAGCTAAGTGGAACATTCATCAAGCTTTATTCTCCACAATTTCACCTGAAAATATCAACTGACTTTTCCAGTTCAAAAGGATTCGTAGAACTTGCAAAGCTCAAGTACTGAAGCACAGACTTAACAGAGTTAACTGCTGAATAGTTCTACCTCTTATGTATTCTCAGCAGAATAATAATGATGCAAAAGTCCTCATAGCTGTAATGTCATATATTTTATGTTAATTGCAAACCAAGGAGGATTTATCACATCTGCAAGATAACAACCAAGGACAATCAGAGTCACTTATCTGGCCTAGTTTGAGAATATGAGTGAGGAGAGCCTTATCAAAGCATACCAACGATTCAACAATGCTTCAAATAGATGAGAACGCGTGTCATTTCTGAACATCAGTGGGAAGTAGCTTGTTTCAAAATGTCCTTTTTACAGTGCTGAAGGCTTTGCTGTACAGTATACCAGAGCAATGATTTATTGTTCTCAGAGCATGGCAAGCGGCCAGTCATTGCTGTGAAAATTGCCCTATACGCTTGATGCAAATAAGTTTTTGGAGAGGTGCCTGCACTTTTCTCAACATACATAATGTTGTAGATTGAAAAGTGACATGACTGAGTGACATGCTCAGTGAAAGTTACCTGGTCATCAGTCACAATAGCCAGATTTTGTTGGGGAGAACTGAGTTGGATAGTAATGTTCTGTTGTATAGTCAGATTCACTGGGATCATCAGGAGTTCAGTCTTTGAGTGATATCATCCAGTTTGATATATCATGGGGCTGGAAACAGGTGCCAGTAGAGCTGAATATCATCAACACAATAGGCTCGTTTGACCTTAAAACTGTCACAAATTTATTGTTGAGTTTATGTTTATTGTATGGCGGCAGTCTGTTTTTATGATCTCCACTGAGGGGAGGCTCACTTTCCCACACTTTAAAAACCGCTGTTGTGTGGCATTCAGAACTCCAAATGATGTGTTTAAAATGAGCTAGTTAAAAAATATAACTACAATATTTTAGTCTGGTCTAGCAATAATATGAAAAATTAAATGGGATCAACCATTTGTCTGTGATTTGATTAGTGACCACAATTTTATTGAAACTAAGTAACACATTATCAAAACAGTACTGAACATGGGAGACGAGACAACAGGTATATGACATTACAAAATGATATAGAGTGTTTTACAAGATTGTAGTGTGTGAAGTGTGGGTATTTCCAACTTATGCAGTCTATGAAACGCAAGAAAGGGAAAATAAATAAATCAGTCAATAAATTTCCAATAATAATGATGACAACAGTACTACTAATAAAGTCAGCTTGTTACATTTTTAGAGGTTGGGAATGTGCGTGGCCTCAGCCCTAGGTGTTTGGTTCAAGTTGAAATGTGTTAGAAATGGGTTCCATGTGTCATAAAAAGCAGATAAACTATTCTTGTGAGTGGATGCCATTTTCTCTGTGATGTATTCTGTCAGAAGGTTGGTCAAGTGGTTTATGTGTAGTGATTTTTTTGATTTCCAGTTTTGAATGTTTTTCTTGGCAGTAGCTAGAGAAATGAGGAGTGGGCTTTTGTATTTAATTGGTAGGTGGTTGATTTCTATGATTTTACAGAGTAAGCAAAGTGATGGAGAAGGAGGGATTCTACAGCCCAAGATGGTGGAGAGTTTCTCTGTCACTGCTATCCAGAGGGAATGAACTGGTTGGCAGGTCCAAGTAGCGTGAAAATAGATGTTGGTGCAATTTGGGTGCATTGTGAGCAGATATCTGTGTCGGAAAAACCCATTTTGAACATTTTACTTTGTGTAATATGGGTCCTATAAATGGTCTTGTATTGTATAAGTTGTAAGTTTACATTGCTGGTCATAGAAAAGATGTAAATTTATGTCCAGAAGTCGGAGTTGAGAGGGACAGTTAAATCGTTTTCCTATTTGAGTTTTGGTATTGTTAATGTTGAATCTGTATTTGATATGAGTTTATGTAGCTTGGATATTATTTTCTTGGAAGTTGTAATTTTCATAATCTCCAATTAATTTGGAGGGTTGTAGTGGGTTATTGGTTACACTAATCTTTGACTTAATTATGGATTTTAATTGATTGTACTGGAGGAACTGTTCTCTCTGAACTCCATACTTCTAGGTCAGCATATTAAATGATATGAACTGGTTATTTTCAAAGAGGTGGTGGTGATGTCCACATGGTTTTCTGTCTGTGGGCATTGGCTAAAGTTAACCCAGTGTTATTTTTGGTGCTGTATTGACCCAAACTGGGTCAGTTTTGACTCACTGATCTTTCCTTCCACCATGTCTTCAAATCCATCACTAAAACAGCTCCTTCCTTTTGCCTTATCAACATCTATAGTTTGAAATCGTTTGAACAGATGAACAGTGCAGGACGTGAGGCAGCCTTAAATGATCAAGACATAATGTTGAGTGCTTGTTTTTTTCAGTCACTAACTGCTTGTGATGCCACCATATGCACTTCTTTATTGTTTCAGGGCACCGATCTGCTTTTTAGTTTAGTCTTGAATAAAATAAACACCCGCTCAGTTTGACCGAGGACAGGTTGGCCATAAAACACTAAAGTTTACTAAGGTTTTGAGATGTTTTTTTTTTTTTTGCCACTAAACGGTGAAATTGCATGTGCTAACGTTTACTAAGGAGTTGCAGTTGGGCTTTGCAATATAAAGAAAGCTGCCTTCCCTTGACCATTAAGGTACGCCATAGGATCTTCTCCTGAAATAGCACTCCCATGTTGGCAAGTATACCAGATTTTCATTGTCATAGTTACAGTAATA